TAGCCTATCACCATCTCCAAATACAACATAATCTCTCTTCTCCCCATAGCTCATCTCTTAAGTAAAAAAAAACAAAATCCAAATGTTTCGTCAATCATTCTTTGTCAGCAAAAGTCCAGTAAGGGCAACCAGATGTAACTATTTCCCTTTTTTAGCCCTGATCAAACAAACTAACCTTGTATTCCTTCCCAGAGTTTTTAAAAATATTCTTTAACCCCTTCAAAGAGAGTCCCAGAGGTAGTTTGCTAGTCATCTCTGTTGCACAAATCTTGTAGAGCTTTAACAAGTTTCTTTTGTATATCCAATAAGTAGAGTTTATCCTTTTGCTTGTCACTTGTAATAAAGTCCTTCAAAACCTTAACAGAACTCTTTTGTATATCTAGCAAGAAAAAAATTATCCAAGTCAATTTCCTGGTTTGATATCTGTACATGTCCTTTAGGGAATAAGTCATCCATCAGATCCATTTGTGTTACATTGAAGTCCCCCTTTGTCAGGTTCAGCCCAAGAACAACAACGAGACAATCCAGTACAGTTCAGTTCCTTTATTAGCTTGCACCTAATAGAATCTCACCAGACTAAACATATGCTAAAGTAACCAGTGGATATACCCCGTGAGACTTTGGGGAGGGGCCAGCCTCATGCTCTTAGTCTTCCCACACTCTTGTTGCAGGCTGAGGAGGCGCTTGCTCTGGAATGCCTCCCCCCCCCGGACAACCTTGAACTTCCATTCCAGAATCTTCCTCACTCACACCATCCATTACACCCTTCCAAGTAATTTCATAGACATCCATTGCAATTTGTTCTTGTTCTATAACTTCATTACAACATCCTCTGTCCATCTTATTAAGCAATTGATCCATTCTATTAAGAAGCTTAATAGATATTCAAAAATTTGCAATATAGATTTTTGCTCCATATTCTTTATCTGCTCCATATCCTTTATTCTCTAACTCCCTCTAGTGTCCAACCTTCAACGTCTCCTTTAATGTAAAAAAACCCAAAACAGTCTCCTCATTGTTAAAAAAAACGAAAACAGTTGCCACGTTCTCATGAGAAAATATCTTCTAATTGATTCAAAACTATAATTCCAAATCCCTATAATTCCAACTCCCTCTGGTCCCTTAATCCTTTGTTAACTTTCCAAAATCCATATACTAAGCATCCTTTTGCTGCATAGTTGAAAAAACCCTGGATTTTCAAAACTTAAATTTACAACATCATCTTCTAAGGAGGAGGAAACTCACCTGATGAATATAGTAAAACCTTGCCAGTCTGAAGAGTCATAATCTCTCCAGTAAACAAAAAAAATAATAATAATAATCCAAAAAAGTGATTAAGAAATGAGGCTCAGTCAAGCTTAATGTCCGTGAAAGGCTGCTTTGTGAGTGTGAGCTTCATGAAATCCTGTCTCCCAGCCACTCATAAGCTGACCACAAAATAGCAGTTTCCGCAGTCTACTCACAAGTAGTAGCTGTCCAGAGTCAGGTGGATAATCTCAATAATTTCTCCTTCTCCCAAAGAACTTTCACTGGTCTGGAAAGTTCCCTTCACATCCCCTCACAAATGCTGTCCTACTAACAAGCAGGATGTCAACTCACCATGGCACTCACAGGAAGTCTCTTAATGGAGTGAGTTGTGACCTTTTCTGCTGGCTTCCCCATTGAGTTAGCTTGTGGGAAGCCAGTAGGGAAGGTCACAAATGGCGATCACATAACCATGGTTCCCCGCAACATCGTGATCATGAACCAGGCACTCAAGTGCCCAGATTGTGATCATGTGACTGCAGGGATGCTGTGATGGCCGGAACTTCAAGGACTGGTCGTACTTCCATTTTTTTCAACATCACCGTAACTTTGAATGGTCACTGAACTAATGAGGACTAGATGTAAACAGTACTTGCAGGGCCAATGCCACCCTGGAAAGTGAATTTGCAATAAAAGAGCATTACAGGCCTCAGACTTGAACTTGAACTTGTTTGGGTCCCCTTAACTTCTTTTGCTTTAAATAACAAGTGGCTTCTTTAAGTATTTTAAAGCAAGCTGTTGCTTAGCAAACAGGGGTAGTATCATGCAGTATCTTTTAAAAATATTTTATTTGAATTTTTCAATTCAATAAAAGTATTAAAAATTAAAGGAAAAATAAACGAAGATAGGAAAAAAAAGTGAAAAAAAATATATAGAAATATGACCTCCGCCCTTCTTTCTATTAAGGAATTGCCATCTTACTCTTTCCCCTTCCTCTTTAATCCCCAAATCCATAAATCATCAGTTCAGTCTTTTCTGCTTTCAACAAAAAGTCTATATAAGGCTTCCAGTCTTTTTAAAAAATCCTAATAGTTTTTTCTGTGACCAAATTGGCCAGCTTTGCCATTACCACAAGCTCCATCAATTTTATAATTCAATCTTCTACTGTGGGTATTTCATTATTCTTTCATCTTTGTGTGTAAAATAATCTTGCCACAGATACTGCATGATACTAGGAGTAGTATCATGCTGTATGATACTAGTAGTAGTATTATGCAGAGTTGTTCATTCAAAGTGCACATGGCAGAGGATCAGAGATTCATATGCCATTCCTCCATTTCTATCCACAATCTTTCTGTGTTGGAGAGGATTTTAAGTGCATCCAGTTAAACTCACAAAGTGTCCCCCTTTAGATGTTCCTATTTTATGCAGGAAGTTGAATATATGAAAATATTGGGTGAAGGGCAGGATTTGCCACCTCCCTTTCCCTTTCAGTTATGGGCTTTGAGTAAATAGGAATTGTATACTTATAGAAAGCAAATTGCACTAAACCACTTAATGCTATTGTTTTTTTCTCATTAGGGGTTACAAATCGGGACCCGTGAACTGGAAGAGATGGGAGCCAAATTCTGTACTGGTTTATTGCGTTTGAAAAAAATGACATCACCACTGGAATATAATCTGCCATCTACTCTCTTGGACATTGAAAATGAATTAATTGAATCTAGTTGTAAAGTGACAAGGTAGAAAAATCACTTTTTAAATTTTTTATCGGGTTTATTTTGATTAAAAAAATAGACCTATAGTAGCAGGCAGGCTTTTATTGTAAATTAACACCAAACAAATTGATGAAATAGGAATCTGGATCCAGAAATCAAGATACTACTTGCAAAATTTAGCTGAGAGATTACATTGTTTATGCGCATGCATACATTTGAGGAATGGTCAACATTTACTACCTCTGTTGCCGTAAACACAGTTTTGATCTAGATAGCTGAATGCAGTCAACTATTTAAATACTAAAATATAAAGTTTGTGGTATATATACACACATATACACACACACACGCATACACACACACACACAAACATTTTTTTCTGTTCTTTAATCTCTTAATACCTAATATTAAAGTTTTCAGGGTTAAGTTTTACATTACAGTGATGTGTTGAGATAAATTTTGGTGAAATATAATGTTACATTTCACTAAGTCAGTGGTGCCAAAAATGCTTTGAAAATAATGGAAGCTTATTTTGGGGTATCTTGCTATAAGGTATGCTTCCAACAATGCGAAGAGTTATCTTCTAAGCAGTGGGTCACGTGAAATATTTTAAAGTTTTTTGTTTTGAAGGCACAGCAATATGAAGTTAGGTGTTTTTTTGTGCCTTCAAGTCAGTGTTGACTCCTAGTGACTGCCTGGACTAGTTTTCTTGGCAAGATTTTCAGAAGTGGTTTGCCATTGCTTCCTTCCTAGGGCTGAGAGAGTGACTGGCCCAAGGTCACCCAGCTGCCTTTGTGCCTAAGGCAGGAATAGAACTCATGGGCTTCTAGTTTCTAGCCTGTTGCCTTAACCACTACATCAACCTGGTCTCTATGCTTTTCTGTATAATTTTTATTTTCTCCTAATGACCAGACTTTTGGGGAGGGGGAGGGGAAACAGCTTTACAATAATTCATCTGTTCTGTCTTATATCATGTAGAAAAAGCATAATTCTGGGGAAGAAATTGGTGCAATTGGAAGAAAGATGGGACTCTTCCCATCCCGGATACAAACTGTTCCAACTTCTTCCTTCAGGACGGCGTTACAGAGCTCCATATGTTAAAACATCTAGATATCGGAATAGTTTTTTCCCTTGTGCCACTGCTGTTAAACACTACATGACTCAATATGTGCTGGACAGTGTCTTCTCCCTTTGAAAAAGTTATTTTACTGTGTAG